AGCATATGTCTATAGGACTTTTTTTCTTAGTTTTTTACTCCTCTACACGCTCCCGAAGTTTTGCGATTTAATTTGGAAACACCCTGTATATATATATTCATAATTTTTTACAACGCAAAAATTAAATATATAAATTATTTATTTACGTTTATATATTTACATATAAACTTATATATGAAGGATAGACCATTTTAATCAATATACGCAAATATCTTGAAAAGGAGAAGTTTTTTTCAAAAAATATTTCGGACAAAAGTTTTATGGTTTCAAGAGGGAAGGAGATGGTGATCTTGCATGAGTATGAGATTTCTGGTTTTATTGTTTAAGAATTATATCGCTAGAATTATATTGCTATAGAATTGAGAGGAATTTAGAAGAATTCGTATTATCAAAGTATCGCTGAAGATAATTCAAAGTGTAGGTTCGTAACTCAGGAAGATCTCAAGCAAAAAAGGTTTGTAAGACCAGTGTTTCGGAAACGTCTTGACACCAGCTTTAAGAATATGTAATAGAAAATAGGAGTTTCCATTTAAGATTTCAAAGTTGACCTTCACGGTGTCCTTCAAGATCACATGAAAGTCATTTCGATATAACCATATAATAGACCACTTGATATACTAAAACTTTTATATTGAACATTTTCTTCCATAATCATTATTTTCCAAGATATTTGACCGTTACGGAACTTTCTCCCATCACTATATACACACACATACATATATTGCATATATTGCATTATATGAATACAACTTATGTCATATTATACATGATATATAAAAAAGAAGACGTTTACGTTGCAGTAATATATTATTGATATATTAATATAAAAATGACAGTTCAAAGTTGCTGACAGAGATGTGCCAGTACATTATATATCTGCCTGTATAAATAATATTACATGTAACATTCTTGACACTTGTGTAATTTTATATCTATATCTAAGTTACATGCTGTGGTTTGATGGATTATTAATAAATACAGTGACATTATTTTATAACGGTCTTCAATGGTTTATAATATGTACATTAATTTGTTATATTGGAAAACCATATAAAATATACAGGTATACTAATCTTATGACGTACCATCTCCTTAGTCTATAATGAAGTCTCCTTGGTATCTTGTAACTCATTATGTGGATAATATAATATAATATCAGGTGATACATCGTACCCTCGGGTACTATAAACGCCAATTAGGATACAACATCAGATTTCTTGCTTATATCACTTCGACACAAATGTGTCTTTACATTTCTTCTTCCGTTGCTCATTTTGTAGGGATAGTGACTTTTTTCAAGGATAGGAACAAGTATCCATGTCATTATTGGAAATTGTATAGGCTGGTGTATTTCATTCATCATATGATGTCCTTTTTTTCATATATTGCTAGCATTATCTCTATAAATTTGGAAATTGAATATCTCTCGTATTCGATCTATCTTGTTTAAATGGACGATGAATAGTAAAGAAATCTTGTGACATCATCATTACGAAATAAAAAAATTATTAAAATATTACTTCTTTGTTTTGTGTGTGTGTGTGTGTGTGTGTGTGTGTGTGTGTGATTTTCTTTTTATTTTATTTAAAATTTTAACAAATATCAAATTTTCCTTCTAGTTTTTTATTTCATTTGTACAGTGATATTAAATGTACTATTAAAAAATTTTATCGATAGGAAAAGTGAGAAGCATTCTTTAACAATTTTATAATAACATATTTCATGAAGAGAAAATGCTTTTGGAAAATATTGCTCTTTGATATCTTTTTAATGTCAAGATTTTTATTTCCGGGATTACAATTGTAATTCTGACATTGAGTGTATTATTTTAAGATTGTTAATAAAATTATATAATGTTTTATGTACAATTTACAACGTCAAAAAGAATTGAGCTAAAAGCTTTAATTTAGTTCAATTCTTTGACGCTGTGAATAATGTTAAGAATATTTATTTCTAAGAGAGAATTTCTATTAGAGAAAAAAATATGGGTATCATGAATATATACCTCATATATACATATATGTAGATACCTCCAAGCGTGTTCTCTAATAACTTTTCAACACTTGTAGTCTGAAATTAAATTGTTCTTAAGTAAATATTGCAAGTTCCCATTGATGCAAAGGCGTTTATGGTTACGTGATCAAAGTCACGTGTTCTGAATAATGGATATTGTCGAAAGCAACTATTTCATTATACTTCCCGTACGTGGTTCAAGCGACAACTTCGCAATTGTGTAACTCTTGTGTTGTGAACTTTCTGAAATTCAGAAACTTGTAACGAGAAAGGCGAATATTTGATGATGAATTTTTACTAAAATTGCATCGATGTTGCATACATAAAAGAGAAGTGCATCATATTCTTGTAATTTTGCAAGAAAACATAAAGATATGAAATTAGATCATAAAGATCTGTCATTAAAATACTGTTAATACCGAGGTTAATAATAATTAATTGCTAAATTATTTAAAAACATTTCTGAATCAAGTTTTAGAAAGTAGATGAATAAATTTGTTTTTTATTTACACCGTAATAATATTGATTTTAGTAAAATTTTAATTTTTAAATTATTTAATAAGGTACATAAAGATTTGATATTTAAAAAGATACACGAAGATCTTTATATTAAAAACTGTGCAAAATATTACGTCTTTTTAAAATTTCGTTTGAATGAGAAATGGAGAAAGACTGCACATAATCCTTTTACACTCATTGTCAGTATAACTCTCAGCTTTAAATAGATATATTTAATTTGATTTATGAATAATGTTCGTTGATTTTCACAATTATTTCTGTCGGAAACTCAAGCAAACAAGACGGTTTATATCAAGTAAACAAATTTTATTAAATTTGTATTCAGCACTAAATCTAATGAATGGACAAATTACAGTGATTTATAAAATTGCATATTAAAGACGAGCAGATTGAACTAATTACTCCTTTGTTACACGAGAAGACACATCTGTTGATCTATATTTTTTCCCTTATCTACAAGCCGTTATATTGACGTGAATAGTTTGTAAATAGTCACAAAGTCTATATATGTGTTTAAAATTTTTTATTATAATATTTGTAATTCTGATTATAACAGAAAAATTTACAAGAGACGAATTCATTACTCAATTTTATATTATTTTATGTTATATTTAAAATAAGCAAAAGCGATTTGGCAAAATAGGCCCCAAAATTGACACAATAGGCAGTAATTTTACTTTTTAGAGCTTTTTTTTTACAGGATCCATCTGTACAAAATATTTACAAAGAAATATGTATAACATTCCCTAGAATTTTCACTATACAATTTTTTTGTTGATTTTTGTGTATGCATACTTGGATACGTTCAGATTCCTATCTAACTGCTCCCTAGATATCATTGTTTAACATTCGGTGAGCAACAAGGATAAAATGACACCTGCATGGCATCACAGTCCTTTTTGCTGTTTTGCGAGACGCAAATTTAACGAGCAATTTATCTTTTTGAGGGTTTTTTCCATAAATACACGATTGCCTTCATATCCGATAGGACTATTTGAAATTATAATGTAACATTACAAAGATTAAGTCAGCTTGATAATACTTTGAAGGCTTCCACGGATATTCTTCAGAGATGCCAAAAGGTATCAGTGCGCTTCTCATCCTGATGAAGTGAACGGCAAGGTTCACGAAACGTTAGCATTGGATCACGACATACACAGCGAACCTGTAAATCCTTTGGCATCATTAAGGCCCGTCTACAATACAGTAGTAAGCTTGGTTTAAGAAGTAAGAGTAAGAAATAAAATTAATTTATTTCACTTACTCCTACATCTATACCTATTCTAAACTCTTACACATCTATTCTTACTTCTTAAACCAAGCTTACTACGTGTATTGTAGATGGACCTATAAGCGTAAGCGCGAAATAAATTAATTTTATTTCTTACTCTCACTTCTTAAATCAAACTTACTACGTGTATTGTAGATGGGTCTTTAAGTTAGCTTGTGGTCTGTCTTACAGATAGATGTACCGATTTACGCTGTGTGTACTTGTGTGTGTGTACCGATTTTATATTTAAAACTGTATTATGGAAAAATAAGAAAGAAAAAAATTGATTTAGGAAACTACGATCATATAAAACAATGTAATATTATCAATAATACAGTCATTATTATTTAAATTACGCAATTTGCAAAAAATGTAAGAATTTTATTTTTGCATTTGTAAAATTTGTTTTTAGTTAATTTTGTAGAAACAAGCCATAATTAGTATATAAATTATATAAATTAAGTATATAAATTATGAGTTTTTACTTCTTTAATTGTCTAAACAGATCATGTTTTTATCAATATTAATAAAGTATAATAGTTTCCGAGAAATAGGGGGATGTTCCTTAAAAGATCTATGTCAATATCGGTGACTTCACTTTATAATAAATGTCTAGCATATCTTTCTAATTTAATATTTAATTTATAATTTCTTAGTCTTTGTGTTTAAAAAATTAAGAGAAAGAAAGAGAGAGAAGAAAAAGGAGGAGAAAAAAGTCTAGAATCTACTAGTTGCTTTGCAACTAGTTGCTCTCTCTTATTCGAGAGTACAAGTTCGTTGAAAGTGTGAGTAAACAGTAGCCGAAAATGATTTTATTCCTCTCTCCGCTTGAAGGAGATGTTTCTACAGCACACGATCAAACATGTATATTAGAGCTTGCGTGGTAGAGAATTTTTCGTCCGATCCAGAAGTCCAAGCTCCGCTTCTATATGTCCTCGTGGGGGCGCATCGCCACGCCTCCCGCGTCTATATAAGCGCTACAGTCGCTGTGGAACCCTCACTCGCACCCCAGTACGCGGTGGTGAGCCAAGGGTGAGATTCCTTCTCGAGCGAAGGACAAGCGGGAGCAGCGGCATAGACTTTGCGTTTCACTTCTATCGAATTTTCGTAAGCGCGAACTGTGAGCCAAGCGGGCACAGGTCGTGAGGCATGAGGGCCTGGTTGCTATGGTTGTTTCTTCTGTTGGTCGTCTTGGCCGATAGGAGCTTCGCTAATCCTTACTTCGATGATGGTGGTGAGTTATAGTCTGATCCTTTTTTTGCATGTTAATGGAGAGCTGCAAGCTGCTTCTCTCAAATATACCTAACGTAAAAACTCAGAAGACATTTTGAGAATGATGAAGAAACGTTGAAAAAATTTAAAACGTTTTTTACGACAGCTTTGATCTTACACTTGCGTTGGGTCTCTTGCTGATATATAAATTCGAGTTATTTAATGTCCACGTGCACGAGAGTAACTATATGGTAATACTCAAGAATTGTGTCCTGCTCGCTGATTTTGATGAAATTAGGCTTATTCGACGCGTTTTTGCATGAAACGAAAGAATCTGGCAAAAAAAGTGTCGCTCTGCCCCGCGAACCGGTATATTAAGCGCGTTAAAGTTCACGACTATTCAGGGTAGGAAATCTGTTACAGTCATGAAATACTGCGGCGAGCAGGACACAATTCTTGAGTATTACTTATTATTTTATGTAAATTATATTAAATTTTCGTTTAACTAAATTCTCTGCTTTAAAAAGTCAAATTCACTGCTTTGAAACAAATTTTCTGCTATAAAACATTAATTCACTGCTTTAAAACAAATTTTTTGCTATAAAACACTAATTCACTGCTTTAAAAATAAATGTAGTGCTTTAAAAGCACAAATTCATTGTTCTAAAACAACCCAGTGAGAAATGAGAATGGAATCGACATCGATACTATTGTCATTTCTCACTGGGAAATTCTCTGCTCTAAAACACTAATTCACTACTTTAAAAACAAAAATAATGTAAGAAAATAATTTGTGTTTTACAATTAGACAAGATAATTTATTTTTAAAGCAGTGAATTTGTGTTTTTAAAACAGTAAATTTGTTTTTAAAGCAGAGAATTTAGTTAAACGAAGATTTAATATAATTTACATAAAATAATAGGCAATACTCAAGAATCGTGTCCTATTCGCCGCAGTATTTTGTGACTGTGACAGATTTCCTAACTTGAATGATCGTGAACTTTAACGCTTAATATCTCGATTCGCGGGGCAGAGCGACACTTTTTTTGCCAGATTCTTTCGTTTCATGCAAAAACGCGTCAAATAAGCCTAATTTCATCAAAATCGGCGAGCAGGACACAATTCTTGAATATTACCATTTTTATAATTATAAAAGATTGCCTATTCATTTTTTGTGATCTTTAGGATTTTTTAGCTCCAGGCTAAGGACCTTAACTATTTTTTTATATGTAATATTTTTTCAACAGAAGTCGTTTTTATTTTTTAAATATCGATAGTATTGTCTACTGTGCACGCGTAATAAAAATAACTCGTGTACTGTCGAATATCACATAGAAATCGAATATCATATAAAAATAACTTATACAGTCGGAAATAAATATATACATTGAGATTAAACAAATTTTCACAGTACATTTTACTTTTCAAAAAAATTTAAATATTTCTGTATCTTATTATATAATTTTTTAATAATGTTTATATATTATATATATATATTTATAAAAGTAATGTAATTAATTTAATATAAGAATTTATATCACGTTATACACTGAGACAGAAACGTTGCTGTTTAAAAAAAAATTCAACTAAATGCAGTGGTCACGGACTGTCTAGCAAATATTTGTTAATTCAAACAAATAACATGTTATAATGACTCACGTATATTTTAACTTACTTATATACAGGGTGTTTCAGAAATAGTAGGCCAAACTCTAAGAGCATATTCCATTCATTGTAAGGATGAAAAAAAGTTATATAAACATGGGTTCGGAAACGCTTCCTTTTCAAGTTATAAATATTTCTTATTTACATTGTACGTCGAACGACATGCTTTGCTTCGACGCTTCATGAATTATATTTCTATTCACCTTCTAAAGTAAACAAAAAGTTATTAGATAGGTGTGGAATTAGAATCAGTCTTTATTTAAGCATTTAAGAGTGAAGATAGTATTCATTAACATGGCAGCTTATTCTAACATCGAATTAGCAGATATCCATTACTTATATGGGCGAGCTAATGGAAACTGCAGAGAAGCTCAATGTCTCTATCAACAAATCTTTCCTCAAAGACAATCATTTCCAGCAATTTTTGTAATGAAAATATAGATATAAGTAAATAAAAAATGTTTATAACTTGGAAAGGAAGCGTTTCTGAACTCACGTTTATAACTTTTTTTCATCCTTTCAATGAGTGGAATATGCTCTTAAAGTTTGGCCTATTTCTCTGAAACATCTTGTATATGTATAAATACTTGAATTAAATGCGTTTAGTCAACTCAACAACTTTTTATCTCAGTGTATGCATCAATTACGTGAATATAAATATAGATTATAATTAATGTAAATGAACTATCATAGATACTTTAATTGATACTTTGTTTCATTTATATACATTAATTATGCATTTCTCACAAAAGTATTAATAAAACACCTAAAATTATATTCACGTGTCAATTATTATATTACAATGATTCTTAGTACCTTAAGCGCCGAGCCTTCTTTTGACTTCTTGTTTAAGCATTTAATTATTTATACTCAGTCATTGCGTAATTTTTTATACTCAGTCATGACTCTTAACGTGTTAAAATTTTCTGTTCGTCAGTCACTGGTGACTGACGCGGCCTGAACAAAAAGTATATTGTCAATCACCAGCGACTGACGTGGCGCTTAACGTGTTAAACATAAATTTTGGCACTAAAATTGTAACATAGATACTGTGTGCTTTATGTATACGCGAATAAAGCTTTTTGAAAATATATCTCTAATAAAGTTTTCATGAAAATATGTCTCGTACAAAGGTTATATGTTAATAACATTTGTGTTGTGTGTTAGAAATGAAATTACTAAAAAAATCTCTTTGAATAGGTTTGATATGGTTTATCTTGTCAGGGTCTTTTCTTGTATTTCAATTTTTTGAACCGTATTATAATTTTGAACCAAATTATATAAAAAAGTTATAACAGACAGAGTTATTAGTGGCTTTTAAAATTATGCAAACTTTTTAAAAGTTATTTTAACATTGCAAATTTTTTAATTGGTATGCTAATCTATTTAACGTGAAATTAACTTTGGAAGTGACTTTGAATATCAAATCTTGTAAATTATACCAGTACTTTTATTCGCCAGCGTTATAGTATATAGAAACTTGTTGAAGTTTAAATTGTAATATAGACACATATATATATAATATAATACAGGCGTTTTCCACGGTTGTGCAATTTGTTAAGAGTTTTACGTTTATTACAGTACAAATTTATCATAGTTAACGTTACAAATTAAATATTTGTACATATACGTACGATTTATATGACTAACGACAGTGGACGCAAATATTTTATAAATATATCTGTAAAATTATTAAAAAAGTTATGTAAAACTATTTTAAAGCAAGAATTAAACAAACGGAGATATTTTTATAGAAAAGTTTGATTTGAGAACCAATTAGATTCGTATCACGCCAAATCAGTCGGATAGCAGACAGTGCAAGTGGAATAAGTTCATCCATGATCAGACGCATACTGATTACACAGTGTGCGTTAAAGCTGTCAAATTTAATTAAACAGTTCTGACTCGCAATCGTAAATTCAATAATATGTACGCAATGAAATATTCGCATAAAATTACGTTTGCCTATGATTATCATTAAAAAATATTGTAAATTATTACATGTTGGTAACATCATAACATTTAGAAACAAAATAAGTGAATTTATTTTTTATTTAATATCAATATTACTGTTTAATCGTTGAAAAATTTATTTTATGAACTAAATTTGAAAAAGGGAATCAAAGAAATGTATGCATTTTAGGCGGTTTGAGTACGCAGGAATCATTGCATTCATCCTTTTTTAAACTCAGTTTTATTTATTGAAGCCGAGAACCATAATTAAAATAGTCTTATCGTTCGAGAATATATATATAATCTTGGGACACATTTTAACAGAAAAAAATAACGGTTGATTTTATCATTTCGTTGGGCCACGTATAATTTTTCTTTGTTTATATATATAAAAATTATCTTTTTTAATTAAAATAAATTGTTATTAAGGTCATGACTTTTACATTATACAAGGTGTTTTGTTATAACTTATTTGTTTTGCACACATGAACTCGTTTATTAATTTCTTATTATTTTTATATTTGCAATTTGTCTCCATTTTTTTTATTCTTTAGACGCGTTCAGATTTCCATCTAAGTGCTTCCCATCATGTTATCCTTGTTCGGTGAGTAACAAGGGTAAAATGACGTCTGGGTGGCGCTCGAGTGAGAATCTGAAAACTCATTTATATAATTGTTAAAATTTCTTTTAGTAAACAAAATTTGTAGTAATTAAATTATACAGATATTGCACACATTTAATCTGCAAATAATAGATTAAGTAATAACTTAATAACATTTTCTAGAAAAAAAAGGAATCATGTTTCGTATAACCTTTTACCTTCGCGCCGCAGAAAGGATTTTCTTGTGTAAGCGTTTCAGAAACGTATAACGAGACTTATCGTAATAATCTTAATGGACTATAATTTTCTTCTATATATAAGGCTGTACTGTAGCAAAAACGAAGATTTGCGATAACGAAAACGGAACGATGAAAAATTTTAAATATAAGTTTTTTTGAAATATACGTTTTATAATTAAGTACCTAAGCGATTACACGCGCTTTTTTAGCACTTTGTAAGCACTGTATTATTTGAATAATTTCATACTTTAATTTTGTAAGCTTTATTAAAAGTGAATATAAATTATATGTGTGTGTGTACCTATAAAGAAACAAAAAGTTTTATTTTTCTTGATTGTGTAATTTTCAATGTTGGGTAAAAGACCTTCTTTGTGAAGCTTGCACTCGTATTTTTAACTGACATAAGATAGCTTTGTATAGTTATATAACTTTGTTTTATACTTTCTGCTCGTTTCAATTCATAAAATCTCTTTACAAGTTTCGTACAAGTAGCTTTGTCATACTTCTAGGGAATATTCTATCTGAAATTTATTTTTGTCAAAAGACGAAATTATTTCTCGTAGTGATCGTATACTACATATTGAGTCAAAGAAATACATCAAGATCGAGTCCGTTGTTAATATTGTCTTATAAAATGTATATAGTAGAATTTCTTCTGTGAGATATACTTTTTAAATTTTTGAATCATGGATTGTCTATGCTTAATCTATGCTGGTATATGATTACATAGTTGGATGAAATACTTTTTTTCTTTTTGAAGTGTGATAGTACATCGAAGTGATTTTTGCGCTAAACGTGACGCAGTCGTCAGAATTTGTGTAGTAGTAAAAAAGTGGTATTTTTTACGCCAATTTACTAAAATCTTGATGATTTACGCAAATTCTGATGACGGCATTGCATTCAGTGCGAAAACATTTTCAGGATATGTTCTGTCCCAGTAAGCAAGATACATTATGAAACATTTCAGCAACTTTACAGTAACGTTGTAACTTTGTTTGCCAGGATGACACTTCGGAGAGAATTCGGTGTTGAATCGTGTTGTAAACAATACGAGTCTTTTCCATCAGCAAATATTTAATTTTCTTTGATTTTAGTCCATGAAAATACATATAATTATCGCTTTGCATCAATTAGAAAAAAGTTCTATTTTTTAAGTTTACAATGCTACTAATCGGATTAAAGTATTATTGCAGATTATGTATATATTAAAACGAATCATTTATTTTACGCTTGCAGAAGATGTAGACGATTTTCAAGCTGACGACTCCTCGGATTATACAGACAACGCTTTGGAAAATCTGATGCGAGTGGCACAAAAGTGAGTGGATAATCTTACTTGTCCGGTTTTGTTTTCCTATGATTGTCCTCAACAGGATCTTTTCTGAGATCTCTGGATTACCTCTTTTCCCTCTTTCCTGACTGACTGTTACGGAAACTGTATATATTTTATGGATGTAGAAAACACATAATTATAAAGAGATGTGTACATATGCGACTCTACAACATTATTTTTATTTTGATGAAATCTTTTGAGAATTAAAAAGATCAGAAAATAAAAATTTGAAAAACAATTTATTTTTACGACTCTAAGAAAAAAAATTATTCTTTTAGTATTTATAATCAATATATACGTATATATATGCATGTGTGAGCGTGACTGCACGAGACACCGAATCGACATTGCGATCTTTTGGACCCCTCCCTTGATGTCTCAATGTTGTGAAAAAGCATTTTCTCGATTTCCCTAATCTCGAGTAGACGTACCTCGTCGATAAACTTGTTTAGGCGGGCTTGCATAAGGCGTGGCGGCGATTGTTACAACCGACGGAAGGACTGCTGCTACAGCTCTAGCTGCCGCTGCAATCTCTGGGGTTCTAATTGCAAGTGTCAACGGATGGGTCTCTTTCAGAAGTGGGGCTAAACGATATCCTCTCTTTCTCTCCTTTTGTCATAAATCTAATTTCACGCATCTTGTTTCTTACATATTTTCTTTTCTTTTCTTTTTACTTCCCCATCCAATCCTCTTGAAAATCTATCCCGACGATGGTATCCCTGATAGTGTCCTTAAGTACATTTGAACGATTCTCCCGTACAATTTAACCCAATCAATGTATTTATCTCGTGAGAATTCCATGAGGAATTCCACGTTTTCAAGTTTTGCGGTTTGCATTCTTGATTAAAACAAAGGCCTCGATGATACGCTTTGACATCTTTCTTTCGTGTGTTTGTTAGATTCTTTAGAGAGAGAGAGAAATGAGTGATTCTTCAAGCTTGTGATATCATAATTGGCAATAGCTTGCAAAATGTTACTCGCTTGGAAACTATTACATTCTTCTACAATATCTATAGATCCAGTCTCCCAATGCAATCTCCCAATGCAATTCATGACTACCTCTCTCACGATATTCGATGCTCGGGATCAACTGTGTTGACTAATCGATATGCTTAACGATCCTCCTTCTCTTTCTAGGTCGTAAACTTTTCTCATTACAATGTAGGTAATGCGAAAATTACAATTAATTCACATTGATCAATTTTAATGCAATCGGTTCTTATCAAAAGTTACATCTATATGTGCACGCGGATATACGTATACAAAATTTACTATTAAATACAACGTTATTTTTTGTCTGATGTTACATTTATTTGCATATTTTAAATATTATTTTTCTTAAGATTTCCTCGATATTCTTCTCCCTAAACCCACCTTGGATTTTCCGCCGTTCCATCTTCATCAGTGAAGGTCGTCGTTAAAATGGAGCCAGAAATGCACGCTATGGCGAATGCACACTGCATTCAAAGGACCTTGACTCACACTAATCGATCGTTCCTTCAGCTGCAGTTCATCAAATCTTCTGGATAAAATGCGCGAGGAATAAGGATATATTATATTATAATTATTATTTTTCAAGAGTTTTATCGTTTTGTCTCACTGTTAAGCAAAAGTGCTAAAAAAATTGCGAAATATCTGCAAATAAAAATATTATTCTTACAATTATTCTTACAATTATTATTATTCTTTGTAAATACAAATTTCTTTATTTATCAAAATATCAATCCTCGAGTAAGTTCTAATTTCTATTTAAAATATATGTAAATGCAATATAATGGAAAATTGTCTTTATTTCGTGACAATGGTCGTGATAACAATTCCTGTTGAAATTGTTTTATTTGTTTTTTAAATATAAACTTTAAATTTTAATTGGGATAATAATATAAACTATTATGAAAAATTATGCGTAGAAATTAATACGTTTATATTGACACACGTTTCAAATAGCCTAATTAGTTCGCGTTATTCCTTTTGACGATGATCCTTTCGGATGTTCACTAATTAAATTGTAAAGGATCTATAGTTACAATTAACGATACAAATCCTGATATTTATTACAAAAAATATAACTTTTTTTAGTCAAGCTGGATCAGATTTAATTCTCATGTTTTCGGGACTTCGCAATCCTCCTGGATAAGACAAAAAATTGGAAAAAGTTATTGAATGAAAAGAGATACGCGAATTATAGGAATTACTGCTCCCTGATTGGAGATATCTCTCCGGCCACTTTCGCCAATCAGATCGTCGGTCTTCCTCAACTTGTTAGTCATTGTGTCGTCAATGATTGCGAGTAATCGATAAGATAATTAAAACTGATGTAACGACAGATTTCTTTCAATCAAGTATGGATATGATGATCAAGAAAAAGGAATTATTGTACTCAGAACAGAGATTTACAATTAATACGTACCTATATGTGTGTCTAAAACGATTGCGATTTATCTAAAAGCATACTTTAATAGTATGTATAGGTTACAGATGATTCGCAATTTACAATTTCCCTATACCGTATCTTAAACTTTAAACGTATTACCTACATGTATGATTATAAAGGAAATATTACAATAATATAAATGTTTATGCATTGTATTTGAAGGTGGATGTATACATATACCGATATATCATGGAAATATAATATATATTATATATATATAAGCGAAATGTGTGTAATTCTCTTTTATGCGGCCCCAGATCATTGATAATTTAATTTGCAGTCTTTTTTTATTTTAAAGTGACTTCCTTAATATCTCATACTCAAGCTAAGTAAGTATATAAATTAATGGTTTCTTCGAGTTCAGTACCAGCATAAAATAATTAACATCAAAAAATTTTATATGTTAAAACTGTTAAGATTTTCAATTTTAAATTGTCTATATTTATTTTGATTATTAATAAAAACTATAAATTTATTAAGAAACACGATTTTGAAATAACTAAACAAAAATATGAATAAAAAGATAGTTTTCCATCTTTTGCACCTGAGAAACAGAGATTTTGATCATCTTCAAGTCACGATGACCTCTTCAGACCGAGCAACGTCATGCTAGATACGCAGGGTCAAGTAACTGGACAGTGATGTACAGTTTAACTCACAACGCGATTTTCTTGCAGCAAAGAATTGTCTGACAAATAATAAATATATTTCTTACTTATAATTTATATAAATTTATATGAAAAATAATATACCATTACATAAAATTTCTTGCGATTAATTATAGTTACTCTATTCTTAAAAAATATTTAATTTTTTATTTTTTACAACGAAAACCCAATTTTTAACAATATACATAGTCTTTTACAAATCTAAACAATTTAGAAACTTCTCTTCTTTGAAAAGTTTGAATTAATGTCAGTTTCTTTTGTACGTTTCTAAGTGTCAATATTGTTCAAGTTTCAAATTAGATTAAGAAATAGAATTTGCATGAAATTAAATGAAGACTGAAGCTTTTGTTGACTTGCGTTTCAAAAGTATGCATTTCTAAAGTTGAATTGGATCCGTGCAAACTCTATCAATGAGTTGTAAATTGTAAAACTCGGAAACACGATATTTCTACATTGAAATAAATGACATTATTTTTTTTCTTTGGCTATTAGAATCGATAATACCGAAAACATGCACGCAAGTAATATATCATAAATAGGTATGGATAATAAAAACTTTCTATTTTATTTAATTTTTCAATATGAATTGTTAGGATGTGTGTTATTGAATAAGTTAATCGATTTTAATCTAACATAATTAAACATATCATTAATTTTGTGTAACTTCATTAATTAGATTTAGTAAACGTCTCGACCTCTCTTGTTATTTGCGCTTTGTTTCGTTCTTTTTTTCACATTCAATACGTTTCAACAAAAGATCAATAAGAACTAATGAACGACACTTTATCGTGAGTTTCTCTAATTGAAGTATATATTTCTAAGACCACATCGATCTCGATCACGATCTTGCGCGGGAGGCAGAGAAGAAAAGGTTAAACAAGTTAACCCCATGGAACCTCGATGACCTACGTCCTTGCCCGAGTCGACTCTATATCATAAATAATCTCTTGTAATGCAACGGGTGTTCCGGACACATACATTTTCAGAATATTTCATCATTTGTATTGCGCCTTTTGACATTATGCGTGTGTTTTCTGAAAATATATGTTTGAGAGCAAAACAATATTGAATTAACAAGCTAATTCTCTTTTGGTCTAAAATGCCCCTTAATAAAAAATATCCGCTGAGTGCAGGACATGTTCTGTGTTTCAAAAAAGATTTTGTTCTCTTACGGAAATTGTTTGATGTTTAAACAGTTGTATACATAAAGATAAAACTAAATAAAAAAATATGTTTATAGGTCTAATAATAAAATTTTTTTTCACATTAATTTATTCAAATTTTGTCAAAATTTGTTATTAAAATGTGTGTGTAATATTATAAAATGTATTATTATATAAAGTACCTACTGTGAGAAAAAGGAATTTATAAAAATTGTTATATCGCGGTTACATAGATGTTTGTTAATATCGCTTATATATTCGCGTTTTTTATTTCAATTTTTATGTTTTAAACTTATTAATTTTATTCATTTATTAAATTAGTTAACCTAACCTTAATTAGCACATAATAACAAAATAGGAACACTTTAAATGAGATTTCCTAATTAAATTATAAATAATTTCTATAATGGACAGTAATGAGAGGTGATTCGTATATATGTCAGTGATGCAATAACAACGTCGACAAATTCTTATAATTAATGGGCCAAGCTTTTCATCACGTACGTTTGCTCCATTCTGTTAGGTTCACCTAACTCAATTGTTTTTTCTAGGACAACGTGTGTCGCAATTCAGGACAGAAATATTATGTAAATGTAAAGGTGACCCTATACGGTTGCAATAATATTGATCAATAATATTGAATCAATAATACTGGCAGTATGCATCAATACTCTTAATATTTTTACAACCTTACACGATTAATATCATTGATAATATATTTCATTTTAGTTTTACATATATTATCTATTGTATTGTAACATATATTGTGACATGGATCCTAATCAAACAATGCTCGAGAATTAAAATCCAGAACACCGACAGTGTATTCTACGTCAATCCATCAATATTAACTACACACAGAAATATTGTCAGTATTTGTTAATGCATGATGACAGTATTATTGACCGTGTAGAGTCACCTTAAGGGGATGTTGGCATGATCTCTAATGGAATTACTGTTTTACCGATTTGCACATTTACAATTTACGGCACATAATATATATGGTTTATGAAATATTAACAGATCACTATATACTACTGCATCAATGTCGTACGTACGTAACACGAAATTTTCGTGTAATCTTTTCTCATATATTAAAGCTTCTAAACTTATTTCTAAAAAGCACAGTGTTGTTCTTTCATGTAATTTCTATCCTGGATAAGGCCGGTATTTATATTATAGTCTATTTTTATTTTAAGACCGTCTCAAATATAATAATGTCTTAAGATATTAATGCGGATTTTTGATTGGTGAGTCTTAAGACTGTATTTAAGACAGTTTTGAGTAAAAGAATCGACTATAAATATCGGCCTAAGGCCCTTATTTTGTAACTCTTAGGCCCAATTGTACCAAAGTTACTTTGACTTTAAGCGAGGCTTAAAATTCTTTCTATCTCTGTCATATTTTTGGCTTGAAAATGAGACAGAAAGGGTTTTAAATCTCGTTTAAAGTCAAAATAACGTTGGTACAACTGGGCCTTAATAATAGTAATTATGTCGTTATAAAGACAGACGTCTCAAATTAAAAAAAAGGTTCGGGATCTGTGATCATGAAATGAAATACTGCCGAATGTAAAGAAAGGCGGAAACACGGCTAGAGTATGAAAGAAGGTAATCAGGAGGAAAGTTTGATAACACGATTGACGAGGGAACCATAATATGTGGATCACATTTTGTACATTGATAGTTCGACGAAATAAGTTCTTTTGCAGATTCATACTTTTTAGTTAAAATAACTTCAGTTTTAGAAAGTAAATGTAGCGTAAAATATTTCTGATTAAATGAGAAAAAGAATATTCTGACTTAATATTTCATATTGAGA